GTTAGAAGATATACTGATATACTTGCCTCATATGCACATTGAACTTTCTTAAACGATTCACTTGCCAATGGGTTTCCCATGTTTTTATCAGGGTGCACTAGCATGGCCTATAAGGGTCAAAACGAAAGTCAATTGACCAAAAAAAAAAAAGAACCAAAAATTATATTGAATCTTGCATTACCTTTTTCTTGTATTCTTTCTTCAACAAGATGGCATCAATCTTATCATATCGAGTGAACCCAAGTGTTTCATAGTGATCCACACAGCTTATAATTCTTTCCATTTCATTGACTTCATTTTCATGGGTTTTGACCACGGGAATGGAGATGCAAGTTGGCTCTTTGTTCTCTTTGTTCATAAAAGTTGGCTTATTGCTTGAAGATTTACACGAGTTGACCTGTTCATGTTCATCTTCCTCACCATTAACACAGAACTTGCTCTCTGTAATGTCATCTTCAAGAAACGACTCTGGAACTTTTGGTTCTTCAAACTGTGTCGTTTCACTCTTTTCACTCAAATTATCACACCATTGGAGCATAAATGTCAATGCATCACAAGATAGGAAAGCAAGATTAATCGATACCAAAACTCCAGACCACCCAACTTGATGTTTTACATAGTAGAGTGCGTATACCATTGCCACTAAAACCACAAATCTTGTATGGTTTAGTGAAAACAAGAAACCTCCAAAAATTAACAAAGAGCCAGCGATCCAAAAGTTAGCATACATCCGTAGGATTAAAATGGTGAAAAGTCCCACCATTAACAGACCAGGAGTGTAACCTAGATAACGAACAGCACAAACAGCAGTTACCTGGAAAAAAGGAAAACGATTAGCGACTTTCAGGGCAATGAACGAAGAATTTGAAGTTTTGTAGGGGAAAGTTCGTAATCTTACCATACTCAGAAGAAGATATAAGAGGCACGACATTGATGTCAAACTAAGAAAACAACTCCATATAATGATGAACAGAGCCGCTGTGCCCAAATCGAAAACCGATTTACATCCGCGACGAAGACAATCCTTCCACTGAATCATCGAGAAACGCAATAGGTTACCCAGTCTTCCAAACGCATAACAAACATTAGGCCAATGCCGTCTGATAAATCCACTGAAACCAGAAGCTGTCTTCTTCGCTGCAACAGAGCACCAAAGGCTTTCCAATAGCAGCCACTTCCAGTCTTCATTGAAAACCCCAAATTTCTCCATTGATACCCAGTGATGTTGATCAATAATGTTGATTAGAACACATATTACAGAAAGATAGTTGCCCTATCCGTGTGGGCGTCCATGTAATTTGATTAGATTTGACGAAAAGGGATTAGTGCTGTAGCTCGTGAAGAACACTAATTTGCTTCACATGTACGTTTTCCAAAAGAGAAAACGCACACTCTCTATGACTGTTGCTTGCACTTTTGACACAGCTAATGATGAAAAAGAATGGCTTGCTGTTCTTTTTTTGACGCAGACAGGTAACTGGTTATTACAGTGGTCGGATCTTGATAAAGTGAAATCGAATAATGCAGATTATGGTAAGTAGTAAGTACACAATGTGATTGTGGATATGAATCAGAAGAAGGGAACAAGAGAAAGATGCTTATGGGTCTACGAAGGAAGAAAGGGGAGCATCGTCTTTAATGGATTCGTATCTTTATTACAGAGGCGGAACCCTAGCTCTCGTTGTTTCTTTTCCGGTGGAAAAGAAGGGGAAAAAACCGTAGTGGTCTAGAGCTATCATTTTGAGCTAATTCGAGGAGAGGCTTGAATATTTTTAACTTCCACGTGTAATTCGAGGAAAATATTATGTCTAAATAACTTCAATTTTATAATAATAAACTTTAGCTTTTATCAGTATATTAGGTGAGAGACTCGTATATTACACGGATTGATTAAAACAAGTTAAATATAAGCATTGGCGGAGGGAGTACCTGGGCTACCCGGTGCTCAGCCCCCCCTAATCCTCTATCCATGTACGCTTTTAATAAGCCCACATTAGTTGACTAAGGGGCTGTTTGTTTCTCCTCTTAATCATCCCATCAAGAGGCTAGCTCTGGATCGTTCAGATTCAGAGTGTTTGGTTGAAACTTTTTTACCCTCTTAACCGGCTAGATGTGACAAAATATGGTCTGAATCGGGAAGAGATTAGGAGGAATCTGAATGAAAAAAAAGACTTCTAATACCCTTTGCCCTAAGAAAAAAAAAGACGCCTGCCTTTGGTTTTTTTCACTTCGCTACACAACACTCCTCCCTTATTCTCCCTGTTCTGAGGCGCTGACCACTTCCCCCGGCCAGCCTCCGGTAACGCCACTCCGCCTTCGCCTTCATCGCCTCCCCCCTCGACACCTCCCCCTTCGCCGATAAGTTTTCTTCTCTTTTTTTTTTGGTCGATTTTTTCAGGCCGATCTTTTTGGTCGTTTTTTCTAAGCCCTAAAACATATTTTGTTTGGTTTTTAATAAATTGGTGTTTGATTTATGTTCTTGCTGCATGATTTTTTAGGGTTTGTATGAAATCCATTTTTCTGCTATGATCTTGCTTCTCTATCTGCGTTTAATTGTCAACTTGTTTGTTGATATGCGATGAAACAACTAGCAAGAGAGGTGTGCCCAAAGGTTCTTCCACTGCCACTGCAACAAGACGAGTTTCATTGGAAAATAGCACCAAGAAAACAGATCTAGTAATGTTTTGGAAGATGTATGATGTCTAAGGATCCACTAATTAATTAACCATGATTGTTACCTTTTGAACCGATATATTGTGAGATTGTTATAAAAATTGTTATACTGTTATCTAAGGATCCATATATTACAAATTTGGATGCTGTATGATTACTAATTTGGATATTGCAAGATGTTTAATTTGTATGAAAAAATAATTGGGGTTAAAATGGTAATTTTCATCGTTAAGAGACTGATATTCAGATGTTTAACCAAACATCAATTTATCTTTCAGATACAAATTCATACAGAGCCTCTACATCATCCAGACCTCTTCATCATTCATATATGAATCATTTAGATGCTACCAAACAGCCCCTAAGTCATTTTAGAGCAAATCTCGTGAATTAGAGGTTTTATTTTGTATAGTCAAATTTCCATAATTGGTCTTTTTATATTTCCTGCTTACCGTATCTCTAAGTAAATTTGTTATGTTTTCTTTCTATAACTTCCAACACATACCTTCCAGTGGATTCACACCTTATTTAAAAAATATGTTATTTTTTTCCACAACAAATACATAAGTCACATAAATATTATTATTAGTATATATTTTTCATATTTTTTTCCACTATTACTAAAATGTTGCAAATATTTTTTAGTATGTACATACATATCATAATTCTTTTA